TTGCTGGAAATTAACATTCAGCTACTATAGAAAATTGGTATTAAAAAGTTTCAATGAATTAAAGCTGTGATATTATTAAACTCCAAGTTTTCTCCTATCCTATTCTTTAACTTGTTTCCTCAAAAATTTTTGAGAATAATTGTAGCTACGGTGATGCCAATTTTTGAAACATTTTTTCAAAACTTTTTTTGCATGAACTGTTAATCTATTTCTAATAAATGTCACCTGATTATATCACATTTTAACATAACTGATCAGTAATTTTTGTGGTTTCTAAGGGTAACTGTTTGGAATAAATTTGTAGGTTTTTGTTTATTAAAGACTTGATCTAATCTAGTATTTATATCGTGGTTGAGCGTGTCTTGGTTCTACCACTACCCTTTTTTCGTGATATATTAAGCTTTACTGTAGGTTACTAAAAAAAGATGTGTTGAGAAATTTTTTTAGTTTGCTATGTGCCGGTGACATTGTACAACTTAATAATCTTGAAAAAAATTTTATACTTGTGACACGTTTTTCTTTTTTTTTTTTTTTCCAAGTTTTTCAGTAGTACCTGGATAAAGACAGATGTTCTTTCCTTTAGTTCTATTGATAAATATCTGTTAGTTTGTTTCACTGTAAACATTGTCAATAAGGTTGAAGTTTGTAAAAAATGATAACAGGTTTGATTTTTTTGTTAACTTAAACCTTTCAGAACTCTAATAGAAAGTTCACAGTTTTTCTGATCTGCTGCCAGTTCCATCCTTGTTTTATTTGTGAATGAAAAGTCAAATAAAAACTTCTACATTTCAGCTATACTTTTTTGAAGTTTGTAGGTTTCAATGAAAAAGTCAGTGCACGCTGTTGACATTTTGCTGTGACGATGATATAGTTTTTAAAACTGTTAATCCGAAATTTCAGGGGGGATAAAATAATGGAACAAATTTGGTAAGATTTATATGTGGCAGCCAAGGAAGTGTTGCAGCCACGAGCAATTTCTAAGATGCTGGAGGCTGGTGGTGTTGCAGCTGCAGTTGAATTGGTTTCCGGTAAAATATATGTTGGTGTTTGTGTAGATGGAACATGTTCACTTGGAATTTGTGCAAAACGAAATGCAATCTTCAACATGTTTACAAATGGAGAAAGTGCGATCAAACGAGTGATTGCCATCAATTGTGATAGCAAAGTTATGCCACCGTGTGGTGCTTGTCGTGAACTTATGACACAGCTTATGCCTGGGAAGTATAAAAATATACAGGTTATGCTGGATTATGACAAGAGTAAAGTTATAACCCTCGGTGAATTTACACCAGAATGGTGGATATAATGTATTTTTTTAATAAAGAGACAGCTTTCAGATTTCTATTCTGCAACCAAATATAACTACAAAATAAAACTACCAAATTTATACAGCGCAGCACTTTTGACCTGTCAATGTAGCTTTTTTGCAGTAATGATATAATCTCGTTTTGCAGTGCTAAATTTTGTTTTGCCAAGAAGGCTTTAAATTGCACTTTCTAATTAATTTTTATTCGCATTCGTTAGCATTCTTGCGAGAATTTTTTAATTTTAGAACAGAAAAGAAAAATTTACGAAACAGCAAAGTTACTTGAAATGTTATTGCAAAATATAATTTTGCAGGTACGGTATACGTTGACGTTGAGTAAGAATGTCATAGAAATCTACAAACTTAATCAGTAAATAATCTATAATCAGTAAATAATATTTGCTTTTAAACATTTATTTTTTATTGAAACGTCATAACGGTCTACCAATTTCGATAACAAAATACAGCAATTTGAAGTCGATGTCACTTATTATTATCTAGAGGGCTAAATTAGTGATTAAAGATATGAGGAAATAGAATAAGCTTAAGACGTGTTCTGTTTAATTATCAAACAACATGGACTTGTCGATCAGTATACGATTACAAGCACAGTGATCGAAAATTGAATACCAATAACCGAACGCATTTTGCTGGAATAATTTAATTTGAAGTTTACAGAATTAAAGTTTATTTTCAAGAACAACTTAAAACCGTCAAAAAAAAAAAAAAAAAAAAACAATGACAGATAATGGTTTAAAATGATTGTTGTTGAAGAATGTTTTTTGATAAATGAATGATACCTGTAGTAGTTCTTTTCTAGTTTACCTATTTCTGGTCAAAAAATCTTTGTGTTGTCATTCCTTCGGTGACAACAAAATGTTCAGTTGTGTGCGGTTTGGTTTTGACACAGAGTTTTTGCATTTTTTTCTCTTCTCTCAGACAAAATTTCTTTTTTTGTTTTTATTTCGCAAAATAAATGACGAGATTTGATCAAACAACGAAATTTGTCATTGTTTTGTTCATTTATAGCATCACTAAATCTCGTTTAAAAATTATATGTGATAATAACGATTATATACATATAATTGTTGACGACTTCCATCACTTGAAACGTCAAATACTGTTAGATCTAATTTTTTCTTTTCTTACCTATTAGTTGAAATTTAAAAATATTTTCTTTTACTTCTTCTGACTTAAATTCGTATCTTTCGCTTATATACAATTTTAAACTAGAACATTCAAGTTGCAGTAATTGAATAAAAATTTCTATTTTGTTTGAAGTTATAAGTGTAGAGGGAAGCAAAAAACAAGTACACTAACTGAAACTAATATGAACAGCGTTTTAATAAAAGCCTTTCTTCTGCATTCAATCAGTATTAATTTAACAAGTTGAAAAGCACAAAAAGGTAGAGAAAAGACGGAAAAATTTTTTTTTTATTATTTAATACATTTTTGGTCTTTCGCTTTTGTGCCCTTCAGACATTCTGTACAGCCAGCAACAGTAGCAGTTTTCTTTTTTTCAACGTTACATACAGCAACTATTCTTCACTAACGTCTGCTCGTCCAAAGTGCCATTTTTTCTTACATTTTCTTCTTCTTCCCCTTCTTCTTCGTTTTCTTCATCATCGTCACCATCTTCTTCTTTTTGTTGTAAATCAGTTTCTTCTTTGTTCTTCTGCTTCATAAACCCTTAATGTCACCGTTAATCCTTATCATTGCCGCCGTTATACTGCCGTTTGCCATTGTCTATTCACTGATTACAAGGTAATATTTTGCAGTTGACCTATCACAAATATATTGACTATTTGTTAGCAGTGAAAAGAACTACAGTAGCACTTCTTTCTCTTTTTTAATTTATAGCTCTTATAGCGCCAGTATCATCAGAAAAACCACTGAATTATGTTTTGGAGAAAACAGCACCAGTATACCAGTTTCAAAATAATTTTCATAACACCAGACTGTTGTTTGCTACATAAATGTCTCTCAGTAGTTGTTTGTTTGAGTAAAAAAGTTAGCACTATCTCAAACATTAAAATCTCAATAATTTGATTCGAGCGCTTATAAAGTTTAAATTACACGTGACTATAAATTTTACAGTAATGTTTACTTCATGTATTTTTTTATCTTTTCAATTACAATTTTTTTTGTATTTAATTAATTTGTTTTAATTTTTTTTAATTAAACAACTGAGTAGAGACTAAGGTTAATAAAGCATAAGTAACTTTGTTAATTTGATTTGATAAATTAGAGTGCTGAACTACAGCGCAAAAACGAGTGCATGAAAGTGAAAACAACTGCTTTATTTTCAACAGTAGATATTTGATTTCGTTCAATAAATTTGAAAAAATTGTTGTATGAATTAAAATAACAAAATTTTGAATTAATGGTGTGCAAGAAACTTAAAGATATATAAAAATTTTAAGAAGCATTACGTCAAAATTAACTTTATTTAATATGAACTCTACACACAAACGAAAATTTATTGGAAAAATGTTGGTGAAAAAATATAAGATATAGATTGGTAGGCTGAAAGAAATAGTTCTTCTATGTGTAGAAGTTTGGAGAGAACATTCAACAATTACTGCTGATTTAGGCGTTTGGAATGGCGGAGCAGACTTAAGGAATCTGGGTTTCCAGTTGTTGAAACTGGAAGTCTGTTGTTCGGTAACCTGGATGTAATTAAGAGCGAGAACGCACCATGGTTGTTGACCAAACTAGCTAACATTTATGGTCATACCTATGGTATCATGTTAGGTGCTTACCCAGCAGTTGTTACTTCGGATCCTGATGTCATACAAGACATCTGCCTTAAAAAGTTTCAATATTTTCACTCGCGATTTGTACGTTTCTTGATAAGAATCTTTCTATCTTTCAAAATTTGCTTTTGAGCTTAATGCTTATGAATACTGTACTGTAACTGCTTTTAAATTCGTCTACGCAGGTCTGAAATTAAGCGCCTTAGGGCTAATTTTGATCACTTTTCTCTTTTGAAGAATTCTTTTTCGCTTACTTTTAATTTTTGTTTTACTCTTTTGTCACAGACCAATTATTTATTTTCAGGATGATCCAACTGTTCCAGACGTAGACAGTACTCGTGCTATACACGTATTTGCTGCACGCGGTGAGAGATGGAAACGAATTAGAACTTTAGCATCTCCTGCACTGTCAACTCAAAATCTAAAAAAAGTTCATTACATTTACTACTTTTTTTGTAAAGTTTCAAAAACTGTCAAACACAATTCAGAGTTACCAACTTTTCAGCTTTATCCTATCGCTTTAGACTCAGTTTTAAAATTTATTGAACGGTTGGAGCAAGATGCAACTTCGCGGAACCCAGTTGATCTACACAGGTCAGAATTTCAACTTGAATATGCTTTTATATCTCTTAGAAATTTATCAGTATAACAGAACAATTCTATAAACTGCTAGTTTTGAAAGAATTAACCTTATGTTTTAAATATTCTTTGGTCTGTGATGATTCAATAAAACATAGGTTTTATCTTTTCAGCCGTTTTCAAATTTTGGCCTATGATGTAATATCACGATGTTGTATTGGCCGGAAACAAAGTATGCAGGAAAACGACCCAAATCTAGCCTTAATATTAGAAAAATTTACTCCCACTCTTAAGTTTCAGAAATCCAGTACTGAAACATTAAGTTGTGAGTTTTTGCTGTAAACTTATTTGCCAACTCAGACGTAAAATTTCCTCAGTTGTTATTCCTTGGCAACGTTAGCATTTTTTCAAGTAATCATCTCTCAAATAATGTCGTTCTCTAAACCAACAAGTAATTCTGAAAACTTACCAACCTGTCGCTGTCTTGAAAGAAATTTCTTAAAAACAGGCTGAAAGTTAATGTTAAAATGCAAAACTTCGAAAAAGAATAAAGCGTCATTGAAGTTTTGGTAATAAACGTGTGAGTGGAACTTCTTGTCAATTGAGAAGCTTTTTTATTGGTTATCAAAAGCATAGCTAAGGCTTGACAGTCATTTCATACAATTGCTCTTCAAACTGCTTTTTCAGATTTCTACAGATAGTCATACTGTCACGTAAAGTCAAGCAAGAACTTCCAAATGTGGTTTTGGGGACATAATTCTTTCTTCTATTGCAGACACGCACTTCTAATTTTTTTGTATGCTAAAATGGCACCTATTTTAAGTTGTATATCAGTTTATTTGGTAGATAAAGAAAACTTTTCCGCTGCGTTTGCTTTAAAAAGCAGTATTAGCTAACCTAAAAGTTTTTTCGAAATTAATTTAAGACTCATGCTCTTCCCCTCCTTGTTCAGTCGCCTTTTCCCAGCCTTCTTTTAACTTCTCCGCTAAACACGTTTCTTCCACTTTTTCTAGCCGAGTTTCTTCTCCTATAAGAAGGGATAAGGAAGAACAAGAATAGCGATAGAGATTCTGTTCTGCAGTAAAGGGCGAATCCTACTAGGAATTTTATCTAAAACATACTTTTTTTACAGGGTGTTTACCAGAATTTAAAGGTCTATTTGCATGGTATCAGAGTGTTGTCGACAGAATCAATTCTGCATTAGGCAAACCAACAGATCCATTTGCAGCCTATGCAATAAATATTCGAAAGATAGTTGATGAAAGAGACAAGACCGAGGTTATTCTATCGTTCAGTCTCACTATTATATAATTTCTACCCTCTGATATTTGTAGTCAAAAAGACAACCAACAATAAATTATGACTTCTGACTATTAATACCTGTTATGTTCGAAGAAACTTTTACTACTGTAAAAAGTAGCTAGTATAAAAAGCAAAAGAGAAGAAAATAAATTTTTAATTTTTTTAGCTTAGTTAGCTAAATAATTTTAATAAAGCAATTATTATAGAACAGATATGACATGATGCAGTTTTTGAAAAATGCTGAGGAAAATGACTGGAATGATTGGATAAAGGAAAATGACCGACCAGTGAATTTTGGGAAAGTGAAGATTGATAAGAAAATGCTGAGTGAGGTATTTTTTATGCTTTTTTTTATGCTCGAAAGCATTTCTATGCTTTCGATGCTATTACGGAAATTACTGCACACATTTGAACTTAACAGTGTTATATCTAAATTTATTTTGAAGCGTAAAATCAAGAACAGATAGAGTAATAGAAAACTTATGAGACTACCTTATTATGCTAAGTGGCAATTAAAACAACTAATGTTTCATTTCGTTTACACATAGTCTCTTAGTTAAATTATATTTATAATAGCTGAGTGAATTTTCCTGACAGAATTGATAATTTAATGAAAGGTCATTGAGCATTTCAGTTCAGCTGACGCTATTGAAATGACCGCTTTTTGAATACAAAAATTTTCACAGTAACCAGAATGTATAGATCAGGTGAAGATTTATGAAGCTGATTAAATGTACACAAGAACACACGTGCTGAGGTTTTAGGAAATTACATTGACAATAAGGTTCATGTCAACAGCAGGATTCGATACTACTGCCAATACCTTAGCGTACCTCATGCACCTCTTAGCCAAAAAACCTGAAGAACAAGAAAAATTAAGGGCTGAAATCAACAGCTACGACGAGGTGAACCATGAAACGATACAAAAGATGGAATATCTACAGTGGTCAATATATGAGATCCTCCGACTTTACCCACATTCGTCATTGTAAGTGATTTCGCTGAGATACTGAATATGTTTAAAAATATAAACATGCAAAAGCTGCTGTTTCTAGAATTACTTTTCGTCTTTTGCCATTCACAGTTGACGACCAAAAATGAGCATTTGAACCTGCAGTACCATCACACCGACCTCTGCGTAAAAACATGTATTTTAGTCTGCAATCTAGACGATGTGTAGAAGACTGCCAGGTGCAAGAATTCATTTTCCCACGAGGTGCAAATATAGTTTTTGACACTTGGACTCTTCATCACGACCCGGAAATTTGGGGAGATGATGTTGAAGAATATAGGCCAAGCAGGTAACCATTAAGTTCTTGCTGAAAGCTTTTAACCATACTTATCTTTTAAGCAGAAACGTAACGCAATTCTTAGACAGTTTTCCAATGTTTTTTTTAGATTTGGAGCAGAAAGAACTGCTAAACAAATGCAAAGTTGGACGCCGTTTGGAGTTGGGCCTCGTCAATGTATTGGCATGAGATTTGCATTGATGGAATTAAAGACAGTAATTAGCTTGATCTTGAAAAAATTTAGGATAAAACCAATTAGTGAAGAAAGTAACGTAAGTTTTTTTTCTACGTCTGTAAAACTTCAACCGATGACTGGCTTCGCCAAGATTACCTTTTCCATAACAATAAAGATGTACAAACTCAAATGAAAGCTCATTTAATTTTGTATTCTTATTTCTGTAAACTAGGTAGGTAAAAGATCTACAGTTCTGATAACTGGAAGTGAGAGATTAATTACAGTGATGATATAATTTCAGTTACGCATGCGGCTTCGTGAGATGGGCACTGTATGGCCAGATTCATCAAAAGTAATATTTGAACTTTTATAACAATATCCGATTCCCCATTTACGACCTGCTTAAAATTGCACTAATGTTATGCAAGAAGTCAAAAAAAAAATGAACAATAAACGATAATGTAGTTCTTTGGTGCTTCGTACAAATCGTTCGATTAAAAAATTCTGTTTTTTGCAGTAGTAGACTTTTAATTTCTTTTGAACTATGAGGAACCTTTCATGTATTTCATAAAAGTTTTGGTTACTTCACTGCACTAGAAAGTTTGAATAGCCTTGATAGTAATCATATTCTAGTGCCATCCAAAAAGTATTCAGTGTTGCTGTTAACGCAAAGTAGTGAATGTACACCTCTTCCTGATTTGCAGCCTGAAAACTTCAAAAATAATATTCAATGCAGCAGAAAAAAGTGACCTTTAAATCTCTTTCTCTCTCCACCAATTTATCTTTAAAACTTCTGAAGAATTTCCATTCCCAGCAAAAGATTAAAATCAGTGCACCAAATGGTGTTCTACGTAAAAACGGCATAATAAGTGAACCTAAAGAAGTCTGTTGAAAAAAATTCGTGCAGCTGACATCCAATTACGCTAAGTGACAATTACAGCTTTTGGCTACTTTCGCTGATAAGCGATTTAGCAATTTTTTGAAAATGCAACTTTTTCATAAGAAAGGAAATGCTTCTAGACTGAATAAAACATTTTTTGCTCAACTGCTGAAAGAATTTCCATCACCTGAGAGTTTGACTACGATATGCACTTTGTCAAGCAATAATAATGTTATAAAATTGTTCCCCTCATGCATAACGACTTGTTTGAGAGAAATGTTTTTTTGCGAATCTATTATACGCTTTAATTCCTTCACAGAGCTTTCCACAGCAATGACTTCTCTCTAAAGCTACAGTAATTATATTCTTACACTGCACCCTGCTTTGGTAGCATCTAAAAGGTACACTTATAATAAAGCCATCCTAAATTATGAAAATTTTATTGGTTTAAAGTCTTTTATGTTCATTAAGCTAACTTAGAAAAACTTTTTTGATCTGCAACTCGAAGAGAATATTTTTACCTAAAAAAAAAACAGACGGTTTGGTACGAAGAGCAATTAGGGGACCTAAAGTGCATAGGTGATTAAAGTAGCCATGAGACGGAGCAATTCGAAGCTGTTACAATATAAAAAATACGAGGACGGAAGTCACCAGATAAGAAAAATAAGTAAACTGGGAAGACTGATAGCTACCAAAAGCCTTTGCGTACTGTTTTGCATTTTCTTTCCAGGGAATTGCTTTAAAAGTCTCAATCTCCAAGTTAACCCCTTCAATCTCCTAAAATTTTTATCATCTACAATTTTGGCAATGAAGGGTGTCTCATTCCAATCACGATAAGTGGCGCTCCCAACACTTCTCACGGACAGACGAGAACCATTGGGAGATATTCTCATTCCCGCGCTAGACCGACTTCATCTAAACCCGAAATAAACAAGGCCGAAAAGAAGCTTAAAAGACGTCAACCTCCTGAAAAGGAAACCTTCTACAGAAGAGCACTACAGGATTTAAGTTTAATCCATCTCCTATTCCGCATTCAATGGTAACCATCTAGACTTATTCTCCCCTCACTTCTTGATAATTCCTGTAAAGTGATTTCGCACTATCCGGAAGCTTCAAGAACAAACTCACTCAACTTTATTACAGGACCAAACAGCTTCGAATATAATCAATTCGTTGCTTTCACTCAGTGCGCTTTTGTGATCAGAGCAAAGCTTCACATTCCGCCTCCTGTAACTCACTAAGAACCCACAAGAACAAGTGCCAAACAACACCGTATCCTCTTCTGACTTGTATTTATCATGATAAATCAACATCTTTAAATTACTATCAAAAACAAAAAGCAACAAATTTAGCAAATGTAGGCAAACTAAAACGCTAAGTAAATAATAAATGACAAATACAAATTACTTTTGTTTTCTGAGAAAAACTACGCTGTTCTCTAAACCAACAGACATAAATAAACAAAGTGCTTTCGGAAATAACCCAACCGCATTACACAAACCGTATAGATAACCGGTGTCCAAAAATTTTAAGAATTCTGAAAGTAGAAAAAGAAAAAAAAATAATTGCGAATAAAGATCAACATATTCACATTAAATGCAGGCGGTATTTTATCAATGTACAATTCAGATATACACAAAAAACGTCCACAGAAATGTACCAACATTTGGAGCGGAGGAATATCTAGAAATCAAGAAATATACATATCACTGGTAAAAGCAATTAATTGCGAAAGGAACTCCGGATGATACTATGACGACCAGAGGCATACAGTTTTCATCCTGTCTACGGAAAGCAAGCAGTGGCCACGTGGGTGCCAATCAACTGATGTCACTGGACGTCTGCAACAAAAAAGATTAGAGCATACAGATGAATAAAACATGAATTTATAAAATCCTATTACTTCTAAAGTTCGCTGATGTAAC